CTGCCCGGGGCTCCGCCGGGGCCGCAGCCTGTGCCCTGCCCTGCCCGGAGCTCCGCCGGGGCCTCGGCCTGTGCCCGGCCCTGCCGGGGGAGGCCTGCGCCGCTGAACGAGAGTGAGTGGCAATGCCAGCGCCTCAGGAATGAGAAGCTTCCCCCTCCCCTCTAATCGCTAGTTAAACCTTCCAACTCAAAGCTGCGTTACTCGTTCTCCCCTCAAAAGATCGGCTAGTTTATCCACAACTCCTCTCCTGCAACTTGTGCTTTTCCGCAAAACTATTTCACTGCAAGGTCATGGCTTGTAAACTCTTCGGGTGGTCTCCTCAGGCAGCCAAATGCGCAGGCCGCACGTTTATTTTAAGGAGAAATGGGAAAATCATTTGATTACAAAGGATGCTCAAGCTGGCCTCTTTAATTTTGATTCCTTCCCACTTGAAGCTATAAATACAGCTGAAGATTACAAAGGGTTGTAAAGTAAATACCAAAAGACAACATTTACAATTTTACACACAGCTACACCCTAAACCCATAATATAAGGAAATCTGTCCAAAACTTTGAAGTGCTGTTATAGTTTGTTATATGACAAAACACTGTGATTTCTATGTATTTATTTAGCCACCTGCCACTCCCTCACCAAGTTTTCAAATCCATTTGTCTGCTATATAGCTAAACAGTATTAAGGGGAATTGTATTTTCAAGTTATTTGGATTACAAAAACACTAACCAAAAGCAAATTCATACTAACGAGTATTTTTGACTTGTACTTGCATGAAAAAATTAAAATACGCTTTTAATCTAATTTTTTTTTTTTTTTGGTGAGGAGAGAGAAAGCTTTGGTGTGATACATCTATTTTCTCCCTTTCTCCTCACACAGAATGTTATTCCTATGACTCTAGAAAAAAAAAAAAAAGTAATTTAGACCACAGGTCCCATTGAATAAACAAATCAAAACACAAACAAGACAGACTAGTAGTACTTCGGCTCATTTGGGAGCACATTGAAGGCAGCAGTTGATACAGATGATCGAATTTAACCAAATGATACAATAAAGCAAAACTGAAGGAAGATTCCTTTCCTTTCCTTTCCTTTCCTTTCCTTTCCTTTCCTTTCCTTTCCTTTCCTTTCCTTTCCTTTCCTTTCCTTTCTTTCCTTTCCTTTTCCTTTTCCTTTTTCTTTTCTTTCCTTTCCTTTCCTTTCCTTTCCTTTCCTTTCCTTTCCTTTCCTTTCCTTTCCTTTCCTTTCCTTTCCTTTCCTTTCCTTTCCTTTCCTTTCCTTTCCTTTCCTTTCCCAGACTGTACCATATGTCTTCCAAAACCAGATCCTACTATTGCAGCTGATAGGATTATATTTGCAGACCAGTTTTCTGTTGTTGCTGTGTTAGGAAATTGTCAGGTTGCCTACTTTTGTGTTTTAATCTGTTTTTTTCCACAGTGTATCTCATTTGCAGTTCTCTGTGATGTTCCCAACCTAAGCAGAGTTGCACTCTTGGTTAACATCCTACATTGTGACTTCACTTTAGCACATTATCAGCATATTTACCTCAATATGAGGTAAATCTTAGAGCTCTTCCAGTGTACATTGGTCTACTGAAGTTTATGGAAACACCTTAATGAATCTGAATTATCTCAGCAAGGTGCTGGCTGAAGGATGCCTGTTTCTCATACAAATTGTAAAGTTTTCCAGCAGGAGACATCTTGATATTTACTGTGTGACACAGCTTTTCTTCTTTGCTACATTTAGAAGAAAACTTCTGTTTATTATGGAAAGCTTGAGTAGAATCCACTGAAGTCATGTGTAGCTTGGCTGCTAAGGATTTGAGGAAAGCTAAAAGGAAACGTTTGGCTTAAACACTGGATTGCAGTGGTGTGTTCTTGGAACAAGAACAAAAATATTTTGCTATTAAATGAAAATATTTTAATTACAGAAGAAACCACACTGAGTTTTTGGTGCCTGTTTGAAGGCTTGTGTCTACAGAAATGCACTTACAGTAAAATTCAAATGTTTCCATCAGAAGGTTACTATGGATTTAAAGGAATTCTTAGTGCAAATAATTCTACTGTATTATATGAATTCTTCCTAATATTAGTAGAAGCTGTGTTGTTGCATTTCAAGCAGTTCTGAGAATTACTTTCTTTTCTCTGCAGGTTAACTTTGTACTATGAATCTAAAAATTACTAAAATCTTAGTGCAATGTGCATAGGTATGTGGCACCATTGATAGACATGTCCTGCAGACATCCCTGTATGTCATGGGATTTTTTAGAAAGGAGGTATTTATAGGCAAGGTAACCTGAATTTTAGTGTTTCTGCAATGGAAAGTTGCAGCTCATGAAAAGCACACAAATTGTCTCTTCTTCAGTTTTAGAAAAGAAGGGAGCAATACTAAATCAGTTTAAACCACTAAACTAACTGCAATTACTCAAACAATTTACTGAGATTATTCAGGAGCCTAAGTGTGGGTGCTTGTGAATGTGCCCTAAGATGTACCTTACCTATCAGGAGTTCTCAGCTCTCAGTTGCCAAGGAAGAGAGTAGAATTTTCCAATAGTATGTCCCTCTCTATACCATGAATATATTAAACTCAACACTGAATTAATGGAATTGTGGCATGCTACTAATACTGCATATCAGATCACCATCTAAAATCATTGAGAATATTTGAGTTTTAATAAATGTAGCTATAAAGATGAAACAAAGATGGCCCTCTATGGAGCTCAAAGAAAGACTTCAGGAACAATACTGTCCTTATGTCTTTCAGTGTTCCTTATTAGATGCCTGAAGAAGGTATTTTTGGAATGTAATACTCCTCCAAATACTGATCCTGCCTAAAAACTTCTCCGCTTGGTAATTGGTGCAGCCAAAACATTATTTATGTGCACACTGAACCACTTTAAAAACAGCCAAGAGAAATGTTTTGTGTTGAAAAACACCACTGACAGCAATCCAGATACTAAGAGCCCCCTCTCAATAACAAAAATTAAGTGGGTGCTACGGACTGTGAGGAAAATGTAGGACTGAATTCAAAATGAGAGACTGTTTGCTACTAATTTCATTGCCAGATTATTTTAATTTGAAGCTGTTCCTCATTGCCTCTTTCAGGACAAAGAAAATAAACTACTTTTGACATGTTCTTCAGAAAACCCAGATCTGTCTGATAGGGTAAGTTTCATCTCATTTAACTTTGTTTGGGAATATATCAGAACTAAGCTAGTTGCC